CCGGCATTTGCTGGGTGTGGAGTTATGTCCAGGGCGGGGGCATCTCCCTGGCTTGTCAAGCGACCTGAGGGGAAAAACTGACTGACTTTGACTTTGGAATGCTACAATGAGTTTCGATGTATGCTGATGCCTTTCAAGGGTTCCGGACTTCGGAAGCTGTGTAACCAAGGTGTGGCCAGTGTGTCCCAAGGAATATGATCGTACCCCATTGTAGTCATGATCGAAGTGTAGGAAGCTATTTCCCACACCCTTTGTTTTTTTATCATGAAGGCCCCTCTGTTGAACTGCGTTTCGCGTGGTTTCTGCGCGAAAAGTTCTTCAACCCCCCTGTGCTTTTCATCTCCGAAGCTGGCTGGGTTGGTTCCGGAGCCCCTTGACTTAGGGGTTTAGGGTCTTGGGGTTTAGGGCCTTTAGGGGTTCAGGGGTGAGGGTTTAGGGTTTAGGGTTTTGGGCTTCAGGGTGAAGGGCTTTGGGTTTGGGGTCTTAGGGTTCAGGGTCTGGGGCTTACATAACTCCAAGGATTAACAAGACACATGGCGTGCAAGCAACTCACTGCATGTGCCCATGCACTTGCATGTGTATGTCCTTCTGTAAATTTCAAGAAGCTTTGCAGATGTCTTGCGTTGACGAGTCCAGTCGACATGGTGATCTGGCATGCGAGTGTTCTTTGAGTCTTTAGGAACGCTCGAGGCATCACAGGGAAAGTTGTGGGGTTCGCAAGCCCGGCAATGTTTGGGTCTGTGTAGCTGAAGTCTTACGATTGTTGCCTTTCGCTGTCTCTAATGTTTTGCCTGGTAGATGGACTAGTGACTTCTACACATTCCGCCCCCCCCCAACCCTAAACCCTAAACCCTGGCCCTAAACCCTAAACCCTAAGCCCTTCCGTGATTGCATTGCTAGAGGTTCAGGGTCCCCTGACCTTGGGATTCCTGGCTGGGTCTTGCTGTAGAATCCCAGATGTTGAGGCAGTTGGGCTTAGGGCTGTGGTGCAGAAAGAGCGGGGTACCCTTAATTGCAGCATCTTGCAGCTTTTTTCTGAGACCTAAGCCATAAAGGATCCCCCAGCAAACTTCGAGCTCCATAAGCTACCTGCACAATAGACGAGACATTGGGGGGGAGGGGGGGTTGGGGGCGGCTTTCATCTTGTGCACGCGCACGTTTTAAGGTGTGTTGAACATCAGGTGTTGTGGAGTCGTTGGAGCTGACGAGCTGCATTGTGTGGATCATTGAGACCCGGCTTTTCTATTCCTGGACTGATGAGTTTAGTGGATGTGTATCTTATACCAACCAACAGCTTTCTGCGGTGCTTGTAAGAATCACATCTTCTCTTACCCCACTCCCGAAGATCGATACAGTGATCAAGCCTTCCTCGCCCGAGCGCGGCATCCGTTCACACTAGATGCCTAATCAATGCCGAAAAACATTTCGAACCATTCGTTCAGGCCCGAAGCCCCTGATGATTGCTTTAGGAATTTCCCAATAAATAGATAGATAGATAGATAGATAGATAAATAAATAAATAAAAATATATATATATACATATACATATATATATATGAATAGAAAAACATAATGTCAACTTTAACTTCGGACGGGGGGGGAATTCAAGTCCTTCGGGCCAAGGTTCTTTTCTCACTATTTGTTGCTTCTGGACGTTCAGGGCTCTGGGGTTAGGCGAACTCAGAAGCAAAAACGTGTGAAGCCAGAAGTTGAAAGACACGCTGCCCTGCAGTTTTGGAGACCTTTGCTTTATCCCCCCCCCGGTTTAGGGTTGAGGGTTTAGGGTTTCACCCCTTTTCTCCACCGATGCAGCAGAGGGCTAGAAAACTACGAGACTGGGCTTCCTCTACCCCGGGAGAGCTTCTTGAGCGTTTCGCAGATGACCTCCGTTTAGGGTTTAGGATGTTAGGATGTTAGGGTTTAGGGTTTAGGGTCTAATTGCGGTTTGATTCGATCCAAGGACATCGTGGCTACCTTCCTCCGTGGGTTTATCAACCCACGCACAGGCCGGACGGTGCATTGCCGCCCCAAGCCCTGCTGGAGAGCCCGCCGCAAGTGTACTGTGGAACTGTATTCATGTTTTTGTGGTGCGGCTTGCACCCCCCCCCCCCGTTTGCAGGTTTCGTGGAGATGCGCTTGAAACAGATTACATTGAACTACCTCACCGGCTGGTTTGTGCCGGATTTGGCCATGCTCTCCTCTGACATTATGTCCCTGCTTCTGGTCTGCACCGTTTGTTTGGGGCTAGGCGGCCTTGAAGAGAGTCATGAGCCCTACCCCAAGCCTTCTGCAAAAGATCCCTCACCCAATGTATTCCTTCGTTACAGTAGTCATTCCGAGCGGTAAGAGAGACGTGAGAAGCCTTAAGAAAACATTGGGACCTGGATCGGGTGCTGCCCACTCACCTGCAGACCCCCAGTAGTCCTCCCATATCTGGTCTTTTAACAGTTCAACATTCAGGGTCAATGTGATTCGCAGTGGAGGCGCACACATCTCTTGGTCCCTGCACTTGCACACTCTGATGTTGGGTTCGAGTTTGGGGGGTAAGGCTTTTGGGGTCTAGGCTTTATTCAGGATGTGGTGTGCAGAAGTTTAGGGTACTGTAGGTGTGAGGGAAGGCTAAGAAATTTGAATGTACTGCAGCCTTTGCCCGCTGCCCTTGTAGTGTTCCTTGTTCTAGGGGATGAGGGTATAGTCGACTGCTTTAGAGTTGAAGGACGTCCTTGTACGAAACACGGTAAATGAAGTCGTTCCATGCTTGTTGGGTCCAGATGCGCGACTTTTGCATATCCCAGTTTCTGCAAAGCACGAGCGCAAGCGCAACTCGCAATACTTCCGAGACACAAACGAAGGGCCCGTGGCAGCGAGCCCCCCGCAATCTTGCGAACGCAGCCATGTAGGATCAAGCAGTTAAGGTTAAGACTTCAAGGGTTTCGAGTTGCGGGGCTTAGGCGTCTGAACTTAGGGTGACAGCTTTCTCCTTTTATTACAACATAACCCGAAATCAAAGTTTGCAGAGCTCCAAAACCCTACAGCCTTCAGACAATTTAGCTGTGCAGTTAGCCTCATAACTCATAACCCGAAAATGCATACATGCATATGTTAAGTAGCATGTGCACTCAACTTATCAGTGCTGCATCAGGTTTGCACTCGATCTCCGCACTGTGGAGACTTTGACGCTGCTGCGCTTGTTTCGGAACCTCCGGTTGTTTCGTCTGCTTCCTGGAAGCACTTGGGCCCCCTCTGCCACTACTTTACGACTACCTTTACCCTGGGTTGATTTGGTTATCATGCTTGCTTCTAATGGGAGTCCAGCCACTTCGTTTCTGTAGCATTCTAACGGTACGCTAGGTTGTCGCAAACATGTCAGGTGATCCTGCCCAGGGTCTGGGTACACCAGGTAAGGCTACGCATTTAACTAGGAAGTCTTGCTGAGGCAAGCTGGGGTTAGAAGGGTAAAAACGTAATACTGTAATAATTAAGAATTATGGATTGCCGTATAACCGGGTCCCTTCACAACTGCTAGTGGTGGGGGCAGTACCCACTACAATGTACAGCCAAGGAGCAGCACCAACATAATGTTTGCCAGGGTTTAGGTGCGGCCAAGTTGAGACACAGCAGCTACGATTCTGTGGGCGCCCGGGTTTGATGGGGACTTCTGGGCTTGAATCCTGTCTCTTAGTTGAGCTTTTACTGTTTCTTCCGATCATCCATGGGACCCCAATCCTTGAACATGGCTGTCTGAAACAAGCGCAAGCTTGGAGGGTGCAACTCCGCAACGGGGAAGGGAGGCGTTTAGGGTGTAATTACGAAACTGATGAAAGCTTAGACCCTTCGGGTAGAGAACTGGTGTGAAGACTTTGTAACAGCACCAATAATGACCCTGCGAAAGAAAGACATTCGTTTGTAAGACTCCCGGGAAAGCCTTTCACTTCGGGGAACCTGGCCTGAAACCGCAGGACCACATGTAGTTAATGTAGTTGTCATATAAAAATGTTAGTTATGCCTAAACCCTAAACCCTAAACCGTGGCTCTTTATGTCGCTTTGGTTTGGGTTTGTGGTTGCTACGTTACACTCGTTCCCGCATCAGGCCTAGAAGCCCAGTTACTGTACCTAGTTGGGTTTTCGCTCCCCCATCCCTACATAAGCTTACGTTACCTACTGCGCCTATGCAGGTATCTGGGCCTTAAGGCAGGAATCTTTGAGTGTTATTGAGAGTTCGTATGTGATCAGGCCACAGAGTAGGCTCCCGAACTCATATGGTTCGCCACAATCTAACCCCTCAGTGGCGGGGTTAGTTATGTGAGGTGTTGTGGGGATCCTGGTCTCGGGGCCATTATGGCGGGAATTTTAGCGCAGTCTCGACCCTTGCTCACATAGGTTTAGGCCTGGTCCCTGTATCCTCACATCATCCCATACAATCGCCTATGGAGCTTTCATGGAAGTCAAGTTTTCTTGATGAATTAGCATCCGGAATGCCATGACGAGGGTGGCCCTGAACATAGCTTTCGACAAGCATGTGCGAATTGCAAGCACCCGATAAACAGCTAACAGCCATCTTCGGCAGGTTACCAGCCGCAGTACCAGTAGATGCCAGTGTTGTAGTCAGACAGACTGTGCTTCTTGCCTTGGTCTGGCTCGCAGGCTTGCTTTGCCGTAGTCAGGAAATACGCGCGGCATCAGAGGCATCCTTGAACTTTCGAACGTTGCCGGATTCAGGGTTTGGATATCCGCTTGTATAGCTTCTCCTAAACTGAACTTCGATGACCTAACCTAGCGCTGTCTTTGATCGTCAACTCGACCTGAAGGTGTAGCTGTCCAAAAGTCAGATACTCAGCCCCGTGACAACACTTGGCAGGGGTTCTGCTCACACAAGCTGATCCCATGAGTTTAATTTTGCGGAGGCCTGCATTACGACAGACAGCGACCAGAGAGCCTGCAGAAATAATATCCCGTGCGAACGCAACACACTCGCCAGAAGTAGGATCCACTTGTAGTCATGGCCGCTGCTGCAATATGGGATGCTGAGTCCACTGTCGCACAGCTCGCTCTGTTCGGAACTCGGCCGGCTTTCACGCTGCTCGTGTTGACCTCAGCTGCGCTTTGGCGGAGATATGCAAGACTCTTGCGGGAGTTGGCTTGGCCACGATCCATCCTGCTGTTGGGCGGAATTGAGTTCCGTGACCTTGGTGATGATCGAGCAGCAAACATGTGCAAGCTCCTGAACCGCGGAGAGTGCAAATGGCAGGATTTGAAGCCTGTGCAAGGCATAGCGCACCACTGGGCCTTCGGAGCCGTAGCATATGATGAGTTTATCTACGTGGTGGGAGGGCTTCAGGCTGTAGATCCACCGCATGGACAAGCTGAGTCCGTTTTCCACCCTGGTTTGGGCAGCTTCAACGCCACCGTGCTGTTTCTGGACAAGTTGTTTTCTGGATATTTTGCATTTTGCCGAAGACGCCGCTTTCAACAACATTCACTGTCGCAATCCATAAACTTCTAAGAGCTCGTTACATGCGTTGTTGGCATTATGTTTCTGAATTCAAGGGATCATAGCAAACTTTGCATCTTTGCAATGTTGAGCACCATTGCCTCCTTTCATTCTATCCAAGGTGAACACCGGTGAATGGAAGCCACTGCCTCCAATACCTGCTTTGGAGAGCAAACGCCACATACCAGCCTTGCTGGGAGATGAAATCTATGTGTTTTGCGAACTGGGTGAGCGCATGTCGCGAGCAACCTTTTGTTACAACATCAAGTCCCGCCAATGGTCTGAGACTGGGATCCTGTTAAGTAACGCGTGTCCATAGTCAGGAAGCGGTTGTTGTCAACGTAACCATAGATGGTGGCAGCATAGCTTTGATTAATCTGTGAACAATAACCGCAGGAAAAGGCCTCCATGCCGGACGGAGGCTTCGATGACCAGTGCTGCAGTACAACTGCGGTTGCTACTCTCAACGGCAGCATTTATGTTTGCCACTCAAATCTTGCCGTTGAGGTCACCAGGTTCATGTGTTTCCACCCACATACGGGCGAGGCTGGCAGCTGGGAGGTTCTACAAGACCTGCCAACATGCCGATATTATTGCTTCCCACTGCTGGCAATTGACGGCGAGCTCTTCGCGATTGGTGGACACCTAGAATCGCGCGAGATTCAGCAGCTTGGGGAAATTGAAAGCTACAACCCCAAGACTAGGCGCTGGACATCGCGTCCACCTTTACCCAGTGGTCGGGAAGGTCACTGTGCTATAGTCGTGGATGGGATGCTCTATGTGGTTGGCGGAACAATTGCAGATGCAACGCGCTCAGCAGATCCCGTGCAAGACGATGCTAGGAAGGCCAGTGTTATCGCAGCACAGGTCGAAAAGTTTGTGGCCAGCGTTTCCTCTGCGAATGGAAGCACCTCGCTTCCGTGGTCTGTGTGCATGCTTCAGAACGACCCTTTCACAAAAGATGGTGTCATCTGGCTTGAGCACTTCAGTGCTGTGGCTACCTACGCAGACCTGGATCTGCCTGCCTATAATGTCAGCCCTTCGCAGGCGTTCCTGCATTCGGCACCGAACAATGAAGATGATGAGGACGAAGAAGCAGATGAGGAAGCCAGCGATAACAGCATCGAGTTCTCCGACTCGCTTTTCGGATAACGGTCGCTGCCAGTTGCTGCGTCCTCACAAGGACATTACAAGGACATTTCGAGGGAGGGTATTCCCGACGGAAGGAGCAGCAAAAAGGAATGCGTAGCTACTGGAAGGTGGCTTCTGGAAACTACGTGTCGTTTCCAACATCTAACATTCCTCAGCACGCCACAGGTCAGCAGACATTCGCGTTTGATGTGATGCATATGGGAAGTTAATCCCCTCACCCATGAAGCCCCCACCTCCCTAATCCTGAGGAATGTGTGCTGCTGGCACTCGGTTGGAGTTCATTATTAAAAGGGGATATTGTGAATCTGCGCGAAGGGTTGTTTCATCACTGCAGAGAGACTTTAATCGGTTTGAACGGGGTGGGGGTTCTCACGATTCGGGGCGTAGCGCATCTTTTTTCGAGTGAGCATCCATAGTTTTGTGACCGTATGGGGAGAAATAGCCTGACAACTTACTTGGAATACCAAGGAAGCTTTGGTCTAGGTTAAACTTTAGGGACATGGTTCAGGCAGCATCTTTTTGAGTCTCTGTTACTGAATGCCTTCGGGAGACGCTGGCAGTCATGACTTGTAATCCCGAAACCTGCAAACCCCAGGGTTCTTGCTAATTTATAAGGGATTTATAGTTTAAGTGACCATATCATGAAAAATATTTACTATAGATCCCCATTATGCTAACTTAAGCTAAATTCCTTAACAAGACCCAGAACCTTCCACCCCAAGCCTGACGACCGAAACCTGAAGCCCGAAGAGGCCCAAAAAACCTTTTACTTTTTTTTGTTCGCTAGACCCATAAGCCCAGGGTTTAGGGTTACCCAAAGGCTGCTTAGTAGTTCCTTTTTGGGATTAGTTTATAGGATCCTAAATACCAACCACAAAAAGGAACTACTAAGGAGCCTGTGGGTAGGGCGGTCCTATAAAGGCCGAAGAAGCCTCTAAGTGAAGCCGGAAAAGCGGCGGCCTTGCCGCTAAGACCTCTGTACGAACATGTGGGAACCTGGGCACGGAGGTAGTTGCCCTGGTGCCTTCATTAGGGTTTAGGGTTAGGGAGTGTTCAGGGAGTTTTTTTTCGTAGGCTGTGGGATTCCATCATGACGCTCAGGGAGGTTCAGAGATTATGGGGCACCAATAACATTAATTAGCACAGACGCTGTGATGTAGATCGTAGCCTCTGGGTTTTTCGATCCGAATTCTAAAAAAAAGAGACCTAAAAGAAGGATCACCGCTTTTAGAAGTCCGCTTTCTCTTGAAGCCCTCATTTTCTGGCGGTTGACCTAAAAACTGGAGCTGACATGGTTGTCCAGACACTGCTTTCCTTTGGACGACGCAGCAGGCCCTCAGCCCTTTGATAGGACCCTGCCTTTATGGCTTAGGGGTTTCCCCTAACCTCCCAGGTACCTACTTTACAGGGCCCTAGGGGCTCTAGTATCCTATGTAGTAGGTATGGGGAGGGGGGGGGGTTAGGGTTTCGGGGTTTATGGACTGCAGAATGCTCAAGGCTAAAAATGGCTGGGCGGCTGTCGTTGATCAAGGAGCTTGTGCTAGGATTGCTCCTCGGCTCTCGATGAGAGTTGTGGTTTAGGGGTTGAAGGTTCAGGGGGTGACTTTTGGATTCTTGGCATCTGGGCCGTTCGCGGTGTTGTGATTATACCCTGGAATCGTAAGGCCCCGAGTCCTCGTGAAGGACCAAGTCCCGCAACGCCCCAACAAAAACCCACCAAGCGCCATCCCCGAACCATACAGAGCCCTACCCATAGGCCCCTAAGTAGTTCCTTTTTGGCATTACCTTATAGGATTCTAAGCAATTAAAAACCATAAAAAGGGACTACTTATGGGCCTATGGGTAAGCACTCCAAAGTGAATCCTCCGTTTCACCCTGAGGAACATGGGACTCGAGTGGACCTCACTCTATGTGGAGACCTTCCTCACAGTTTTGAAGTATCTGGGCTCTGGTGCACCCGACACCTAGTCATGACAGGTTCATTCGGGCTACGATAGGCTTTGTTTGTCGTCATCATGGGATTACTATGCCTATGTGGGGTTAGGTTTTCATACGGTCTAGGACTTCGGGTTTAGGTCCAGGGTTTGGTGTTTAGGGTCTGGGGTTGACACCTGCAGGTGCGTCCAAAATGTAGCTACTCGCTTGTTCCACGGTTCTCTTGAGATCCCAGGCACGTTTCCATCATCGCTCTGCTTTGCCACTTCACGGCATGCGCCTGGTGACCTTGCCAAACTGAGCGGGGTTTCCATGTCTGGTTCCAGGAAACAAGGTTCCGGTTTAGGTACTGCATCAATACTTCGCCATTGAGTCCGGTTGCTTTGTTCAGGCGGGCATGGAGTTTGGTGTTTGGGGTTCAGGGTTCCCGGTTTCCGCCTCAGCCGGTCCGGTTCACTGCCTCGACACCGGATGGCTGCGCCTTGTCCCTGGTCCTTGCGGGGAAACGTATTGTCGTTTTAGGCTTCAGGAACTTATACTTAGCAAACATTAAATCCCTAAGCCCTGAACCCTAAACCCCTAACCCCTAAACCCTAATTAAGAACAAAGGCGGGATGTAGGTGGTAGAGCAGACGGAAAATCTGTCCAAACAGCCTTCGAGTGCCGCCATCCTGGAGCCCTCAAACACCACAAACCCTAAATTACTAAATCGTAGAGCCTCTTTTGGGATAGACTTGGATTCAGTTCGGTTCTTGGGAGCTCTTTTGTTCAGAAGGCCGACTCAGAGCCGCAGTCAGGCAAGCATCCGGCTGGCTGTAAGCCCTGCATAAATCTTCGGCAAAAACTAAACATAAACTCTTATACACCCGACCAATGAATACCAAGCCTTCTGTTTATGTAATGTATGCATGCATGCATTCATGCATGTAGACCCTAAATAAGTCTGATCTACACTCTACACCCATAAACACCATAATAAAGCCTGAGGTATGCCTTGGGTGACCTCTCGTCCGACGAGATGACCTGGATAGCCACGTACAGGGAGAAGCTGAACCTTCCGGAGGAAATTGGCTGACCCTCCAAACTCCATAAGCCCGAAGCCCAAGCTCTCTAAGCCCCTAGACACTTTAGGGTTTAGGATACTTTACCGTTTTGGGATTTAGGGTTCCTCACTTTCCGGGTTTAGGGATGTAGGGTTCAGGGCTGAGCTTGCCGGAGGAAACTGGCTGGTCCTTCTTCTACGCCCTCTCCCTCCACTGGGCTCTCACCCAGATCCTCGGCCCTTCTTGCGACGTCTAAACCTATAGCCTATAGTATGGTATTCTTAAGACGACACAAAGTGTGTATTGAATGTGTATGGAAGCAAATACAGCAACGTAGATATGCATATGTATATATATATATGTATATATATATATGTATGTATGGAAATGCACATGTGTGTATGTATAAACATGTATATGCAAAATGTATATCTGTGTGAGGGTTCCAAGAATGGACAAGGTTCACGCCTGCGGCCATGGATGTTGTGGCAGTCAACACCCCGGAGCGACTGTTCTCGCTCTTTGCGACACTCTCCGGCCTCATTATGTCCCTGCTCGGGAATTTTGAGGGTTTTGGGGTTTACAGGGTTTAGGGGTTTAGCGGTTTAGGGTGTATAGGGTTTACAGGGCTTATAGGGTTTATAGGGTTTAGGGTTTAAGGTGTTTAGGGTTTAGGGGTTTGGGGGTTTAGGGTTTAGGGAAACTTTCTATTTTGTCTCAGGGTCCTGTAGATGCTCAGAACATGTTAGTTCGCCTAAGGGCCCTAAAGAGGTACCTATTCAGATCAGAACGACTGTTTGGGAGCCGCAACATGACGAATATAGGGGCCCTAATAATTAGAATAGGGTTTGGGGTGTACTATACTATAATTATTATAATAAGGAACCAGCAAAACCCTATTCTAGTCATTACGGCCCTACATTAGCCAGGTTCAGCTTCTTCATTGGCTCCATCAACCAGCTTCTTGGCTTCGAAGAGAACGAAAGCTCCGAGCACTATCCCTACATGGGAGTTCCCGAAAATTAGGGGTACCATATTTGGGGGGGGGTCCTTATGAGAAGGATCCTGCTATTTAGGGTGCTATATTACGGTCCCCTATTTTCGGAACACCCGACATAGGTGTTCATGTCCTGGACTTCAAGCAGCGGGATGAAGGTATAGGTAGGATTAAAGATCCCGTTGATGAAGTCTCTTAGTTGGGGAGTCATCCCACCTACCTTCATCCCAATTTCGATGACTCAGAACGATGGTCATAAGAGATCTTCGGCCACGGCCCTGAGTAGGAGATTCTGATACTCCCTCTACAGGCCAAGGCATCGGGTCTTGAAGACGATGAGGTTCAAGGTTTTTGGGGCTTCGGGTTTTCGGGCTTCTGATTTTAGGGTCCAGGATTTGGGGTTTCGGAGTTTGGGGAACGCAAAAGCTCGAAACTCCCAAAGCAGCGGAAACAGAGATTTTCCGGATCGCTACCCCTGCATTCCCCTTTTGATTGGGATCCGTTACGAGCCAGGGATTCCTGAGTAGCTGAAGGAGTACACTTTAAACTTTAAACTTTTTGGGAGAAGATGATCCCTTTCTAGAACTTTAAACTTTTTGGGATAATATGACCCCTTATAGACTATAGAACTGAAAGTGTACACTCTTTTTTGCTGATGAACTCAGCAACTAAGATTCTGGAAAGAAGTGAAGACGTTGCCGAGGTCTCTCGCACGCTTCAGCACGCTGACTGCGCAGGAGGTGAAAACAAGCCAGATGGTGAGACGATATGTGACTGAGATGCTTGGATTAGTCTCGAGGGTGCAATGGTAATATGAACACTGATAACTTGAGGACACGAAGTACTAGTAATAGAGATGTAGAGTTCCCCCCCCAGTAATATAAGAAGGTATCATGGCGCAAGGCTTTATAGCTTCAGGCAAGAATTGAGGCCTGGTTTGGAGTGTCAGGCTAGGCACTTGCATATCAATTCTGTTGGTGCAACTTCGGCTCATGGAGTTTTCGACTTTTCGACACCAGATCCTCAAACACTGGTTTCAAGGTTCCCAGCTTACGGGTTGCAGACAAGAACTAGTCCTTTAAGCCCTGTCGAACTGTAGCATCGCTTCAAGTCTCCGGCTCGCAAGGATGATTTGTGGCTGAAGTTTTGTCCGTCGCACCTTGCATCGCACGCACGCGCTGCAATAGCAGAATCGGGTCACTGGAGACCTACTCACTTGATCCTCGGGCTTGAGGGGTGAAATCTAAGACGAGCCCAGAACCCCGAAGCCTTAATTAATTACAACCACGCCGCAACAATCACCAAAACCCTAAACCCTAAACCCTACATACGGCCCCCATATTGTTTAGATCCGTTGGGGACCCCGAGGAAGCGAGTGTCGGTGGAGCTCTCGGCAGACATCCTCCGCTGCATCCGTCAGCGTGGTATTGGCAGGGAGACCAGCGCCTTTCTTGCGCACCCCTTTGAGTTCTTTTGGGGTATTTTTCGGGCTTATCAAGAGCTTGTAGTTGACAAAAAGGGTTTGTAGGCTCCGATACATCCCTTAGGTTCCAGAATGGACGTGGTTAAGGGCATGTCCTGGGGTGCGGAGTCTCCTATCTGGGAGTTCAGAGAGCACAGGGCGGTAATGCAGACTACCCTAAACCCTAAACCCTAAGCCGAAGGACCCCTACACTTTTCGTCCTAATCAGCGGCTAAGCTAAGCAGTGACCCTTCGTTCGTGGGTTTAGCTTTTCAGGGCTTTTTTGGTTGCTTTGGGCTTGCAGTTGAGGTTGGGGTTGAGTCTTTGGAAAGACAAGTCGACTTCTCCAGGTCCCTATATTCGCTCCTCCGTGTATCTCAAAGAACTCCCTACTTGGAGGTTCATGGGTAGTTGTAAGTAGGGTTTTTAGTAGGGTAACTATAGTTATAACCTATATCCACTTATAACTACCCATGAACCTCCAAGTACTGGGGCAAAATTGGCAAAAGAAGGGCTATGTTGGGAGTTGTGCACAGTCAGCTTCACGCTTCCCTACCTGTCCTTTCTTCGTCGTCCCTTCGAGAGTCGGGGCTGCTCTCTGAGGTTACCTCTTTGTAAAGGCCGCCAGGCCATTTCAAAAGACAGCAAAGAGATCCTAAACCCTAAACCCTAAACGCCCTCAAACGCTGCATAGCGCCTTTTGGGGCGTGCAGGATTGGAGGTCGGGGACAGGACCTGGGGTTCAAGGCTGGGTTCAGGGTCGTGGCGAGCTTCGTTGTGATTGTTGTGACAGGTGAGAGTTTGAGGGATTGGGTGGAACAAGCTTGGACCCTGCAGCGGTAGAAAAGAAGTCCTTAAGAGGAAGACAAGCATCAAGAATACTTAATAGTGAGAGCCAAACGATAAGAACAAGAAGAACAATAATGGGAATAACGAGCACGGCCCCAACACCCGGGCCATCCGGTGCTCGCAAAGGCAAAGTGGTCTTCGGCGACATCCCTGCTCTGAAGCACTTGCCGGACAAGGTTGCCAGCACCGAAACCCTGCACCCCCTAGAGGCTCAGCAACAGGCCCATCAAAAGGGCATCCCCACATTTCACATTGCTCGAGATAGAAGTTGACCACAGGTCAATGTTTTGGGTGACGTACTCTGTCGGGGAATTTGAAGGTATAGGTATGTAGGTGACCATGCTTTCAGGAGCTTCGAACACACAGGATTGAAGGTCCGTAATTGTCGAAAGGACCCTCGAGACCATCAGAGCTCAGATCCCCGGGCCCCGGGCGTAAAAAACAAAGCGCCGCGTCTGCGTCGTAGTATTGAAAGAGCAACTATCACCCGACTCTACTACCGCCGGAATCCGTGTTGGGGTGATAGCTCGTCTGTGGCTTTGGATGCTCATGCAGTGAACCCTAAATTCTCGCAGGTGCGGTCAGCGCTGAAGCAGGAGGTGGGGATGCCGATACTGGAAACTTGCATTAACAAGGAAGATCGAAGAGGGGGTTGTTAAGGCGGTTAAGGTTTCCTTGATGGTGTAGAGTTGAGGCTTCGCAGGATCCCGAGCGGATGGGGCGCACGAGGCTGTGTGTTGGGTGTTAAACTTTCAGGATTTGCATTGCTGCATTGCTGGGGCTCCGGAATGTGTGGCAGGGCAACGAGCGTGAATTCTGGTCTTGCTGAACTTTGCCTGGACATGCTTTCTTGGGCTGTTAGTACGCTCAGGTTTAGGGTTTTAAGATTAGGATTAAGTTCCAGATGTCCAGGGCAGTAGGTGTGCAAAGGTCTACACCTCCCTACCACACTCAGCGTTGCAACAGACCCTACCGAACGCAAACCGCTTGCAGCTTAACGCCTAGCCTCTAAGCACAACCCCAATCTTTCCATTTGAGGAAACCCACGGCATGATTCGACATGCCGCATTAATCAACTATGGCGATGTGGCTCCGCTCTGTGCGAATGCTCTTCAGGACCCGGTGAGATTGGGCGTGAGTTTCGTCGTCCCTGTTCGGGGATGTTTCCGTTCACGAAGGGATCCTCCGTTCAGGGTTTAGGGTTTTTGTCGGTATGCAGGTTCTATCACTCGATGTTCTGCGTCATGCCAGTGTGGAATGGGAGCGGGAAGGCGACGTGCTCATCCCCAAACCCAAGGCCTTAAGATCACGTATCTGGCTGCTGTGCACCCGAAACATCCAGTCCCTCTAGATGAAAGTTTGAAATGGAGGCTTTCGCAGACTCGACTTGTATGTCAAGGCGATTATTGTATCTTTTGTAGTGCACTGTACACAGGACGCGACGGAGTGTGATGCGCCATCAAACACATGCCGGCCCCGGCAGGAGCTGAGTGTCGTCTACCGGGAGGAGCTTTTCCAAGCCGGTGCCTTGCGCGCAAGAGTCAGCAACCTTACAAGCCTTGAACGCCGCACCCTAAAACTTAACCTCATAATTATAATCTCCTGCACCCAAACCCCAAACCAACGCAAAAGCAAAAAATCCTGAACCCTAAACCCTATAGAACCGCTCAGATCCCAAACACCCTGAAGATCTCTGGACCGAAAAGCCCTGAAAGGTGCCAAAGGTGAGCTGATGTACTTCGTCCGGGATGGCAAGCTGGCTTACAGCTGGGATGAGACCCCTCATCTGGTCGAGGCAGGCCTTCCTTTTTTTGGGGAGGCTCCCTTAGTAGGCAAATTTGTGCCTCTAGAGGGCTGTAGAAGGGTTTCTAGAAGGATTAACCATGATTAACCCTAAACCCTAAACCCTAGCTATCAGGCTTTTGAAGGGGCTTCTTAGAATTACTGTAACCATACGTAGGGGCTCTAAGGGGGCCCATGCGTTTTGCTTGGTTATGGGCCCTGGGATGTCAAGCTATAATCCATGGCAAAAGTGTATAGGGTTGTGTGACGTCTTTTCACGTCTTGTCCTTTAAATCTCCCCGCTTCTCCCTTCTTAGACCCCCTGGCCACAATTAGGAAGCAGAGTCAGATTCGACCCTGGGAGATCTGGCAGAATGCGGCTGCATTGGTATGCGCAACTGGCTGTAGAAGTATACCACTGTAGCAGGTACCCAAAGACTCCACTATCCCTTAATTAAGAAATATACCTTAAATCATAGTAGGATTCCTTATATGGTTTAAGGCATATTCCTTAATTAAGGGAGATTGGAGTCTCTGGGTACTAGTACCACAAAGGCTGGTGACCGCTTAGGCTGACGGAGTCGTCCCGCCCGAAACAAAATTCTTTCCCTCCAAGAATTTACCGCGTAACATTGGGGCATCTACATCCATGTAATACAGAAACCTGGATATGACTAGTCTCCTTTTCCTCTATTTTCATTTCTAGAGTATGCCCTCAAACCTTAGGTTTTGCTTACTTCTGGAAACCCTGTAGCATTCCAAATTCATAATGCGATACCCAGACACCAGGACGGTGGGACCCAGCAGCCACTTAAGGGAGGCATGGCCTTCGGGGCAGAAAAACGTTTGCAAAAGTGCACAAATCTAAGACATGATATTAAATGCATGGTGTAGGGTGTATCAGGGTTTAGGGTTAGGGCCTCATTTAGGTTTGAGGGTAAACCCCATGACATCCCAGTACTGACGGGAACTATGATGAGCTACACGTACAAACACGGATGTAGGCAAAAAAGCAAAAACACCGCAAGCCTGATAACACCCACGGAGACCCAGAGAACCTTCGATTCCACGGAGGATGTCCTGCCTGACATGCGAGTTAGCGAAGCAGTGCTCTGGTTGCCGCTGGGCCTTCTTAGCCGAAGAGGCTGCGGGTTCAGGGTCCTGCTAGGGAACTGCAAAGCTGAGAGTACAAAAACCTCATTACCACCCGGCGACATTCAACCTAGTGTGTTCTGGTTTAGCTGTCTTGATCTGCTAGGAGCAATACCAGGTCGTCCTGGTAGTACTGCACTGTACTCCTTGTCGTAGTATGTAGCACCAGCAGAAGCTTCTTCGACACCGGAAAAGTATGTATGGATGTAAACAGGAAGAAAGAAAGACAGAAAAAAAGAACAAAGATGGATCGATGTTAATTCTGATATGACGTGTATATTTATGTGTATCCTGATACTTGCACTGTACTGACACTTACTTTTATACAAACAGCCAAGAGGCTTCCAAGATGCAACGCTAGCCCACCTTTGTGCACTTCTGTATCTCTTAAACCCTAAACTAAACCCTAAGCCCTAAGCCCTAAAATTTGACTTTGGGCTTCGAGCAGAGAGGGCTCCTGAGCTGAGGAACTGGGAGTACCGCGGCCGCCTAGGCTGGGCCAAAAACCCTAAACCCGACAGCCTTTTTAATTTTGGAATCCCTTTTGGAACCCTTACACATCTTCAGAACTGTCGGCGGCCTGGAGTCGTATAGAAGCCCAGAGACTCCAATCTCCCTTAATGGAGGATTATAGCCCTGAAATCCTAGTAGGGATCCTACTATGATTTACGGTATATTCCTTCATATTGGAGTCTCTGGACAATTCAGGACTCGAGACGATGAGGATCTGTAGGCCGAGGCTTCTAAAGTTTAAGTGCCCAGGCCGAACGGGGCTTAGGATCCTGGTTTGTCTTTTGCTGGAGAGGGGCTGTCTAGGGCTGGATTTTGAGGCCTTGGCTTTCGGGGTTTAGAGTTCAGGGTTTAGGGGCGTTTAGGGGTTTA